TTGGAGCAACTCTTATGAAACTCTCTCTCCCTCTCCTCTAGGCTTTCTCAGGTCAAAACAGCAGCAAAATATTACCTCTAAGGTAGAGCAAGAAATCTTAAATAGAAGAGCTTCAAAATAGCTCTTATTTTATACAATCTGACTTTATAGTCCTGGCTGATAAGGGTATAGGGCTGGACGATCAGCATAAATTTTGCTCAATCTACCTAGTCAGTTTGGGATGATTAGATAATTTTGGTCATATCATCAAGGACGATAGTATATCGTACTAGATGATTAGTTCAAATCTGAGGAAAATCATCCTGAACATCGCCCTGAATAGAAGTTGTCCGATGTCATTCGTCCACGCCATCGTCCCGGCCGATCCTGTGATCAGCCCAGCCAATGTGATCGTGCAATCAGCCTTAATTTCTTACCTTAATCAACTGATTAATTTAGGCATAATTGTGTTGCATCGTCCAGGCCGATATCATGAATGATGTCCAAAAATAATTAATGCCTAAATAGATTTGATAGCTGATTCTTTTTTATTTGAGCCTATCGTCCCGGCTGATACAATATCGTCTAGGCCGATCGGCTTAATGACGGCTGTCTTAACCATGATGCCCTGATTAGGGTTTCTATTTTTGAACCGATCATTCGGCCGATATAAATATTATCCCAGACAATGTTACCAAAAATATTAAACTCTAAGAAACAGTCAGAAATTCTCCCAAGGTGTGTGTGTGTGTGTGTGTGTGCAAGGTTACTTAGCATTAAAAGCCACATCTTTTATAATAGACTCAAGAAAAGGAAAAGTGTACAAAATGACTTAGACCTAGTCTACCCAATCTTGAGCTGATTCCAATTGCCGTCTGATCTCGTGGACCTGAAATGTTAGTAGGCAAGCAGTCGTAGAGAAACAAGAGTGTTTGCTATCATCAAAATCATAATCCATGAAAATATATTCGCAACATCTTTATCATATCTAGCAAAACATTTAGCCAACATATCCATATCCTCCATTTCAGTAAAAGCATCAATAAGATAATGATCAATTAAAGAAAGCTTACTATCATTTATCATACATGATTGCCCCCTAAGAGGCAATTCACCTTCCATATAGAAAACTCCATGAGATAGAGTTTACATCTTTGGCTAGATATACTCTAAAGTTGATTAGCACTCCCAAAAAAAATTGCTAGAGGTTTTTTATAGGACTTCAAGATAGTCTGAGATAGCTTCTAACACCATTTCATAATTTTAATTTCTATAAGCATATGGAGAGAGCCCGATTGATTGAGAATGATCTGATAGCTATTACGGAGAGATGGGCTGCTAGTAGAAAGAGATTTATTATCAAGATATCTAGTAGTGGGTTCACTAGGAAGAAGAGTAGATTTGTACTTATATAGTCCAGGAAGGGTGTATATTTTGTGTCTATATCAGCTTTGAGTAGTGGAATCATAGCTAGTTCTGAGAGTTTTGTTAGTGGGGAATCTGTGTATAAGAGTTATGGTAGGTGACATTCTGGCTAGTTCTATGAGATGATGGGACAGTGTTTCAAGTGTGGGCATGTAGGGCACCAAGTAGTCATGTGTCCTCAGGCAAGATTTGATTAACGATTTGAGAGTTCTATCAAAGTAGCAAGGAGACTTACAACAATTTCACTTCATACATTTTTTAAGGGATCATTTAGTAGAGGCAGTGGTTCTAGTTTTATGGTAGGGGTGCCATGTGGTACTAATCAAAGAGAGCTTAGTTGTCATGTCACTCTAATCTTAGGTCATCCATGTGTATACAGTTTGACTAAGTAGGAGGCTCGTGAAGGTGTAGATGTTGTAATAAATATGGCTTATATTTTTAGTCAGTCATTTCATGCTTTGTTTAATTATATAGCTAGTCATTTATTTATTTCTGAGTATTTCTTTGATTTACTGAATTTTTCTTCAATTTTACTACCCTCTTTTCTTTTTGTTACATTACCAATTAGAGATATGATAGCCAGTAGGGTCGGTTTTTATGACATTGAAATTTTTGATATGAAGGAGAAGTCTAGTTTAATTTTAGTACATATTTTTAATTTAATATTATTTTGGATATTGATTGGTTGAGTCAGTATATGACAACAACATCAACATCAACCCTTTGTCCCAGTACGAGGGGTCAGCTACATGAATCTTTTTTCTCCATTGTGTCCTATTAAAAAGTTAAATTCTCATTTAATTCTAATAAAGAAAGACCATTTCTAATATTTTCTAACAAAGTCTTTTTAGGTCTACCTCTACCTATTTTAGTATAAGTCAAATCTAAAACCTCTACTTTCCTAACTGAGTCATCGGAAGGCCGCCATTTTTTATGACCAAAACATATAAGGCGTTTCTCTATAATCTTATCTTTCGCTAGTGCTACTCCAACCTTTTCACGTATATGCTCATTTCATATCTATCTCTAAGTGTAAAGAAACTCATCCACCTGAGCATCCTCATCTCTGCAACACTTAACTTAGTATTATGCTTCTCTTTTAATGGCCAACATTCAGCACCATAAAGCATTGCAGGTCTCACCACCATCTTATAGAATTTTTCCTTAAGTTTGAGGGAGACTTTTCTATCACACAACAAGCCTGATGCATTCCTCCACTTCAACCATCCAACCTGAATTATGCTAATAATATCCCCATCTAGTTCATTATCACTCTAAACAATAGATCCAAGATATCTAAAACATGCACTCTTATTAATGACTTGATCTCTCAAAGTCACAATCCCCTCACTAGATCTATTACTACTAAAATTACACTATATATATTCACTTTTAGATCTACTCAAGTGAAACCCTTTAGACTCTAAGGTTGACCTCCATAATTTAACTTTACCTTCAAATCCCTCTCTTGTCTTATCAACAAGAAGAATATCATCAGCAAAAAGCATACACAAAGGTACATCCTCTTGCAAATGTCTAGTGAGAACATATATGACTAATGCAAAAAGATATGGGCTTAAGTATGATCCTTGATGTAATCCAACCGAAATAGGAAAATACTTGGTTAAACCACTATGTGTTTGAACACAAGTAATAGATCCTACATACATATCTTTAATGATTTGAATATAAGTATTATTAACTCCTTTGTTTTCAAGAAAACTCCATAGCACTTCTCTTGGAACTTTATCATATACTTTCTCTAAATTAATAAATATCATATGTAGATTCTCCTTATTCTATCTATATTTCTCCTTCAAATCTCTCAATACATGTATTGCTACTATAGTAGACCTACCCGATATGAATCCAAATTAATTTTGAGAAACAATAGTATCATGCCACAACATATGCTCCATAACTCACTCCTATACCTTTAAAGTATGACACATTAACTTATTTCCTCTATAATTCACTCAATCTTAAAAAAAAGTGAGTCACCTTATTTTGGGTAGTGAGAGTTATGTATCTAGGAAGTTAAAGGAGTTTTATAATATTTTATTTCTATGTTAAAGTGGATAGATTGTGAAAGAAGGGCTGCATGATATTATTTACATCTATCTTTGATAGGAGTATAAATTATATTTATCTTTCTAATGTCTTGGTAGTGCAAGAATTATCAAATGTGTTTTCTGAGGAGTAACTAGTTTGCCTATAAAAAAAAAATAGAGTTATGTATTGAAGTATTTCTGTGTGACCCCAATTTCTAAAGCTCTGTATAGAATGGAACCTAAGGATCTTAAGGAGTTAAAGGTTTAACTCCATAAGTTAGATGGTCGAGAATTTATTCGTCATAGTGTCTCTATGGGTAGCACCTATTCTATTTGTGAAGAAAAATGATGGTACAATGCACATCTGCATTAATTACATTGAGTTAAATAAAGCCACTATCAAGAATAAGTATCCTATGCCGTAGAGTTATGATCTATTTTATCAGCTTGTTGAATCTTCCATATTTTCCACCCTTAATTTGCGATCTAACTATCATTATGAGAAAGTGAGAGAGTCTGATGTGATGAAAATAACTTTCAATACTCTATACGGACATTATGAGTTATTAGTCATGCCTCTTGAGGTGACTAATGCACTAGCTTTCTTTATGTGTGTTCAAGAATTATCTGTATATATTTGTTACTATTTTTATATATAATATTTTGATTTATTTAGCTTCTTAGGAATATCATGCAAGATATTTAAGGATTATTTTGGATACTATAAGACAGTATCAATTATGTACAAAATTCTTCAAATATGAGTTTTTACTGAGAAATATTTCTTTTATGGGGCACGTGGTGAGAATTTTAGCTATTTTTGTTGATCTCCAAAAAATTTAGGTAGTTACTGAGTGGAGAATGCCTCCAACTATATTTGAGGAACGTAATTTTTTGGGTATGACTGGCCGCTCGCCGACTACGATCCCTTCGACCCTCGTCGCCCGCAGGCTACGATCCTTCGATCACCATCACCCACCAACTACAGTCCCTCCGACTTTCTTCGCCAACCGACTACGATACTTCTAACCCCGTGACCGCCGACTACTGTAGTACTAATCAAATAAATATTTCAACTCTCTTAAGAAATACTACCATGTAATACACTTTATACAATGTTATTTACTACAATGAGCTAACACCTCCTAAGAAAGATATTATTTGTAATCAACAATCAATAATAATTGATTCACTTAAACATGGACATGCCTCATGATTTTTCACTTTTCACAATTTTTCATATAAAAAATTTGATGTCTCTTATGAATATATTACACCATGCTCTTTTATATGTTTGTGTTAAATCTTCGTACAATACTTAGAGACTAAACTTTATATATCTCTATCACCGTCGATATTCTATGATGCAACAAGCTAACTTCTAATGAGTCCTTAATATGAGATGAAAAAAATTACAATTTGAGGTGATTTCTTTAACTGATTTGAATTATTGTATATTGACTTAGATGATCATTCAATATTCTTTGTAAAAAATAACAATTAAATGAAATTATGACTGACATATTAAAAACAAAACTAGAAAGATGTTTCAAATAATCCCTTAATTCACCATTTACAATTAAATTCATCTGAATATTTTAAATCTAACATGAACCCAACTAAAAGGAAATCTTGTAAACACTTCCTTCTTAGAGTCTACAAAATGAACTTTGTTACAATTACAAAACTCTTAAAATAAATACAGATAATTACACAAAGAGCTGATAATTCAATTCACTAAACCAAATCACATAGTAATAAGTTAACAAGCTCTTCTTCATACAAGCCACCTTTCAGGCTTCTAAGGTCTGCTTATGAACAGCCCATTGATCCGCGCCTCAACTTCCTGTGCACTGTGCTTCACATTTCTATCCACGTGCTTCCCTCCCTCCATTCCCCTATAAGACTCCAGAAACCGCCGGTACGCCGGCATCACAATCGCCACCGCCGTCATCCTCATCTCTGCCCTCAGCCTCTCGTCGGCCACCACCCAACCGCTCTGCGCCCGACATGTCTCCTCGAAGTACACGTTGAAAACCTTCAACCTCTCCCTCATCACCGATGGTTCCGGAGCTCGGCCGCTGCTGTCTACTCTCAGCACCGCTGTCACCTTGTTCCAAGTGCTTTTCTGGTATTCTGACCCCCACCGCCGCTCTCTCGCCGCCTGCCTTCGAATCCATTCCTCCCCCATTAGAATCGTCAATTCGTTGCTATCTCTCACCTTCTGCATCATATACCTCCCATTGTTCATCAGAAAAACGCAGCTTAGTGCTGGTTCACGGTAGGCCTTAGCCTTTGCCTCCAGATTTCCTTGCAGGACTTCCATGATCCACGCGATCTGGATGGCGAGTGGCGATGATGGCCGATCTGGGATTTCGGCAATTCCCATTCCATCCTCGTCCATCACCTCCTCAAGAGTTTGCCGGGAAGCGCAGGCGGCGCGGAGGTAATTCATTACATAGCGGGTGATGGGATGAAGCCCTCCACCCGGCACAGCAGCTGTTGCCGGATCACGCCGGATCAAGTTATCCAGCTCGGTGAAGATCCCGCGAATCGTCGCTCCCAGCTTCTTCCAGAGCGCAACGGCCTCCGTGCAGAGGAATGCAGAGTATTTATCACAGAATAGTGCGTTGAGCTCAGGAATTACATCACGAATGGCCTCATACATGTCCGCCACCCGGAAAAGCCTCTCTGGCGACCGGCTATGTGAGGCTATTGCATCGCCAAATCGCAGAAGCTGGATTGCCGGGGTGCGGCAGGCCTCCGCAAAGGAGAGGTCGGAGATGGCGGAGAGGCCGGCAAAGATACGTAGGCAGAGGCGGCGCTCGCTGGGGAAGAGTATGCGGAATCCCACGTTCACAGCTTTGACCCAACGGCGGATCTCGTCCTCGAGCTCCGTCCACGGTGTAGCCTGGACTTCGTCGGAGATGGAAGTGTCGGCGGTGGCACGGTGTCGGATTCCTAACCGGCAGATGCTTTCCTCGAGGAAGTCCCGACGGGCAAGGCTATACGCGTGGGCACACTCTCTGCCAAACCCAGCGGCGAACATCCTTTTACCAATCTCGTGGAGATCGGCTACGGAGCCCGGCGGGAGAGCGTCGATGACAAAGTCGTAGTCAGTCACTGGTGGGGCCACCGGGATCTGATCTTCTTCTTCTTCTTCAGAATCTTCTCCGTCGGAATCGAATCCGGGCGGCGGGACGGGTTCATAAGGGGAGACGCCGTAAGGGTTTTCGATCAGCGACCGGAACTCGTCCTCGAGCCGGAGCATGCACTGCTGTAAGAGATCGTTAGCATGGTCAAGCGCCGGAGGGTCAAGATCTCGTACGGCAGAGATAAGGGAATCAACGGCGTCGAGGAAGGCGGCGGCGTTAGCGGAGTCGGACCAAATCGAGCGATCGGAGGAGAGAAATCGAGCAAACTGGTGATCGAGGGAGGAATACTGTTCGTCTGTGATGGATCCGTCGGATAGGCGGTCTGCGGCGAGATTCTCGCGGGAGAAGCGGTGGTCGAAGTTGGAAAAGATCTGTAGGATGTCGTCGGCCATTGTGTCGGTGCGACCGAGGGTCTTGGCGATATGGCGGGCAACTTCAATAAGCTTTTCCTCCCCCTTCTCTGCCATCTAAATCATCAATTGTTTGCAAGGGTAGGATTAGGGTTACCAAGAGTGGACAAATGGCGGAGTAGAGCGAAGACCAGAGAGCGCAGCTGAGCAGCAACAACTGCGGAACGCGGATATGGATATGTCACAATAAATAACAATTAAAATAATAATAAAGTTAGAAAAAAAACGTCAGTACTTGCAATTTACAACTTGAACTTTGCAAGCAAAACTATATGGGCACACAGCTAATTTTGGCCTATTGATTGAGAGTTTATGCTTCAACTAAGAGGTCCTAGGTTCAAGTCTTTGTGTATGCATGGTGTGTGAATTTGTCTTAATTGACCTAAATGTCCAAAAAAAAAAACTATATGGGTCAAAACTCTAAATTAGAAAGAGTTTTGAAGGGATAGTTTTTTTTCCCCTGCGTTTTGACTTTATATATTGGTCAATTATATTTATTTTTTGTTTCATTTCTTAAATTAAAATTTAATTTTATAAAAATTTATGTTAAATTTAAAATAGAAATTTGCTTGTCATTTACTCGTTTTGTGCACTTTCTCTATCATCGGTGATGACCGTATAATGGCTACGAACAACAGTTTTATAAATTCATGACTAAGTTTTTATTTCTGTCCGTATTATGTATTCCAAATTAATAATGTTACATGTTTGATTATACATATTTCAATGCTTTATTTATACTAAAAAGTCCTAAATTTAAAACGTCCTTAGTCATGTCAGTATATAGTACTAATTAGAACCGTATTTGAATCATGATCCCACCAATTTTCAAGCTTATTTAAATTGTTCAAATAAGGTTTAAATAATATTTGAATATGATTTGCATAAGATTTAATCATGATTTGGCCATATTTCATGATAGTTTGATCACGATTCATATATAGTTTGGAGAGGGATTGAAAATGATTGTATTAAGGTGTGGAGATGGTTCAATCATCATTTGAAAATGAGTTGTTTTATTTTCCGATCATTATCTTATTTGAAATGGACTCATTTGAATTATTTTGCTATTAATTTACTTTTCGTATTGTACAAGAATTGAAGAGTAATAATCATAAGTTGAAAAATAATGAATAAGATTGGACCATATATTCGATGATCTGGCCAATCTTATTTGAAGTTTTGTACATAGGGAGAATAATGAGATAATGGAGTAGAGTGAGGAGATATCTATTGATTTTGGAGTTGAAGTGGAGAAGGAGAAAGAGATAGATAAAGAGGTGGAGGAGAAGCTGTAGGAGATAATAGATTTGGACTAAGCCCTTGCTATTGTATATATGCATAAGGAGGTCAGAAAGGCAAATGATGTTAGCTCATCTCTTACAATTGTTCATAAAAATGAGGCTAATTTAATAGATAATAAAAGGGGGAGATAGCATAATAAGAAATATTTAATTGTGGATTTAAAGAAAGAGGCATACACACATGGATTCGAATAATGTTGATCCATTCAACCCATTTGATGAGAATAAATTATCTTTCTTCAATTCTATGCTGACATAATTAGTAGATAACTCCAAAGAAGGGTGATGAAAATGTGATTTCAACAATTGAGTATACTCACTACATGGCTAGATAGTAAGGTAAGGAATTTAGTACTTTATTAGAAGTATGTGCTCTTGAATCAACAAATACACTAACTTAAAATTTCTCGGGTTGATATAAAACTCATATTTTCAGTGAATTGAAATAAAATATATTGGATGAAATGTGAGATCTCACTCTTTATATAAGCCACGATGTTGTATGACTTTGACCTTTTTTCCTTTTGTTGCAGACCTTGCACGCTTGTAATTGCATATTTAGTTTATTTGAAATTGAATTTTTTTTTTTACTATGTACTCTATCAAAGTTTTGTATGCTTGTATTGGATAAACTGCATAAAAACTAAGTTATGATTATTGAATAAACTATTAAATAGGCACATAATGTTGACCTCAATTTTGGATGAGGTCAATAATCTAAATAAAAATTCAATCTCCATGCATCAATCATTGAACTATACTTCAAACTTTAAATCAAACTCTATACTGTGTATTTACATAGTGCCTTGATCATTGACATGTAAATCATCACTTAAAAATCACCCCTGACTGTCATGTTATCATATGATCTATCACTTGATAATCACCAAATGATTATTAGTGATATGATCATTATAAAAGTAAAATTCCCTAAATCATTGATCTTCATTGATCAATTAAATACCTAAATCTAAATCAAGCATTAAATCCATCACCTGATAGTCTCTATTGATAGCTAATTGACCATCTATTAAATCATTGACGATCATCATTAATTATAATGATCTGAACATTATAAGCCCTAAATCTTCCAAAAGCATTATCTAAATCCAATCCAGTGAATAAACCCTTTACAAACTCAAAATTCCAAAATCCAGTGATAGAACCAAACCAAAAAACCCTTGGTCCATAACCTATCTTTGGAGAAAATTCCATTGCCTTGAAACATGACCAAATGATCTTAGATTTCTGATCTATCACTTGCATATTAATTAGATATGTCCCTAAGATTAACCACATCAGTTTGAAGGCATTTCATGATCCCTAACCCCTAAAACCTAAAGCATTTCCATAGGATGCAAAATCTTTAAATATTTACAACTTATGCCACTGAATATGGCATCTTGTGTTTTTTTTTGAATTTGGAGACCTTTCCAAATTCATTGATCATGATCTTCATCGTTGGAATGATACATTAAATAATTATTGAGACTTGGTTGACCATTGTTAACCTAAAACCTATACTTTGAAAATTGATTTTTTCCTAAACCTCAATATGGCTCAATCAAATTAGACCATGCAACCTTCTACAAAAATATTTAGAATATCATTTGACACACACTAAATCAATCCAAGATATAATCAACCTTGGTTGACCCATTCAACCTAAGTTGATAAAACTATTGAACCATAAAGCTACATCTCATTGCATTTGAACTTTTCCATTACATGGAACATACTATAATATTTATGTCTCAACATTTAGAATAGTTTAAACCAAACCCCAACGCATGAATCAACTTGATTGACCAAGTAAACCAAGGTTAACCAAGCTTGCATACATTAAAATCCTTTACATTTTTTGACTAAAGCTTAATTAAACCCATTTAAACATATAGTGTCCATTAGATCCCTAAGAGGTAATCCTCGGTGACACACACATTGAGTCCATTTGGATTAGCCACTTGTATTGACCCAAATGGTCAAATTCACTATGCATTGGACCCAACCCTTGGACCAGCCCAAGTTGGCTCATTGAGTTGATCAATTGACCCAAGAAAACACTTCAATTACATTCCCTATGGCTCATTACATCTACCCCTAGTTGGCCCAACCCTTGGACCGACCCGAGTTGACTCATTGAGCTGAACAAATGCTACTCAAAGTACCTAAACAAAACTAGCTTGCATGCCCGACTTACCTAAGTCCAGGTGGCACTCAAATTGAGTTCAGGAATATTCTAAGAGGCTTGCCACCTAAGCTGATAGTTTGGCTTAGGGGAGTCCATCCATCTTCCTGAAAACTGCTGGTATGTAACGCATGGTTTAAGCCCACTCTTATAATCCAGCCCAACCCAAATCATCAAAGCTTCATGAATTCTTCCTTGAACCCTCTAAAGCTTGCATAACCCAATCTAGTGGCCGAAGATGATTTGAATAGAATCAGAATCCCACTTAAGTACATTTTAGAAACCTATAAATTCCCCTCAATTTCACTAAAGTAGGGTTCGATTTTTTATTTTATTTTGTATCTAGAGAGTGAATATGTTTGTTTGTTCATTTTTAAATTATTATTATGAGATCTTGAGGTGGTTTCAAGTAAGATTCGGTGAGGTTTCCATTGTGAAAACTCAACAACCAATCCATTTATCCTTGGGTCCTGACTTCTTGAAAAGAAACATTCCAAGGGTCTAGGCGATCGTGCCTAAAGCAAGGCCAAGGAAATTGGAGCTTTATATTAGGTAATCCTCCATTCTCAAATTTCATTTTAGCTAAGTCTAGGTAAATGTGAAAGAAGCACTCAATCCACACAGATCAAAAAAGTTAGATTAAGTGTTCTAACTATACTGATGCTCTATGTGATGTTTAAACATAATCCATCTAGCCAATCCCTATGATCTGGCCAAAATACTCCTATAATCATTAAGTTAAACTAGAGGATGAAAATGAAATCATGACCATTTATTTCAAATGACGGTCTAATTCCAATGTATATCATTTCATGCTTCGATCATATTGAGATTCGTTCACTATGAGTTAGGTTGTTAAACCTAAGCTTATGTCCCAAGGCTATCCAAGAGGAAAAGACACAAGATTTATAGTGGTTCGGTTTAAACCAGACCTACATCCACTCCCCAGAGGCACCCTCCGACTCCTTTTGCACCTACAGCAAGGCGGAGAAGCCTTTACAAACACTTTTTTCACCACTAACCAGTGCGGTAGAGAACCGTCATCCTTTTACACTATCCTCAGTACTAGCAGAGAACTATCATCCTTTTACACTATCCCCAATGTGGGCAGAGAACCATCATCCTTTTACATTATCCCCAGTGTTGGTAGAGAACTGTCCATCCTTTTACACTCTCCTAGTGTGGGTAGATAACCCTTCGTCCTTTCACACTCTCCTAATCTGGGTAGAGAACCCACGGCTGTTTACACTCTCTAAGTGTCTGCAGAGAACCGGATCTCCTTGACAGATCTTCTCACAAGAATTCTAGAAGGAAGGAAGAAAAGAGTGAAGTAATCTCAAATCACAAGTAGAGATTCTTGCCTTTAAACACCAAGCAAAGCCTTCACGCTCCAGTGGTAGGAATCCTCCTTTGAATGCTCTCTCACACTCTCTCCTTGACTCTGCTTTTAATTGGCACGAAGATCAATGAGCAAAAAGATTGGGTGGAAGTCTAAATTGGACTATATATAGGAGAGATAAGAAAAACCGTCCAAAACTACAAATTTTTCAAGTCAACACGAAATGAATCATCCCGTACGATTGTGGATCATCCTAGACGATTTTACTTAAACTGTTGGAAATGATCCTAATGAGTATTGGTACGAACTGTGTTCGTACATGATCATCATCCCGTATGAACTAG